GTCGAGCCTCTCCACTAACCGACAACTTAGTAAATAGCAGCTATTAAGTCTCTCTCTCTCTCTCTCTCTCTCTCTCTCTCTCTCTCTAACTCTTTCTCCACCCATTGTATTTTAAGTATTAGAATTTTCCCTATTAATTAAGGAAATTTAATTTCATTTCTTTTACTTAAACATAGTTTTAATTTCAAATTCAGACTTATCCCTGGATTGCTTCGGTAGCACCTAGTTTTACTTTTTGATAAAATACATCAGATATCTGTTCTGTCTGTTTCCAAATGTTTTACATGGGATATTGTATCAACCACTAAAATAAACTATCACTTCCTTTTATTTAGTCAAAATAAACGCTCCAGATTAAAATAAATTTTATGAACCATATTCTACTACAATACATGTGCAACGCACATGCATTTTGCTAGTAAATGATGACGGATATCACTAATGCAACTGCATTGTTCTCATTAATGATTCATTCTATTATCACTAATCAATTCAACATTAACGTGAGATTTCTAAATTGCTTTGATTGATTCAGAAGACGAGGCATAAGGGGCACACAGCCCTTCTTATTTAGTTAGTTCCATGTTGAACCATTTAAAAAAAAGAAGAAGAAGAAGAAGAAGAAGAAGAAGAATAAAATTAGAATTAATTGACATCATCACTACCATTATTAGACTCTATTATATTTTTGCATCAATACATATTTCTGTTGTGGAAGTTCGTAGTTAGTAGTAGGAATTGCTAGTAATGAGTGTGATAAAGTGATTTTGATAACCACATTCATCAGATATACATCATAAAGTGATTTTTATTTTTGTTTTCCTTTCATGGATAAATATGTGTGGCAGCGTTTTAATATCTTTACTGATATATGGGTATGTTTGATAGCACCCTAATATCCTAATATTGAAAATATTATATAATCTAATATTATTTTAATTATATAAGTTTATTGACCCTGTTTGATAGGCCCAAATTGTATCTTTTAATATTCAATCAAGTCCCTAATACCTGAACCCCAAGAATTGAACTTCTAGTTGAAGTTTTAGGGATACTAAAAACTTCTTCAAGCGGCTTTCTATTTCTCCGTCAAAACATTTGACGGGATTTAGTTTTTGCTCACGTGCCTCTCTTTCTCTCACTCTTAGAGGCCTCTCAGCCGAGACCTCCTCTTCTCTCTCTCTTTCTCTCTCTCTCTTTTCCCACCCCCCATACTGGAACCATGTTTTCTCATTGTATGGTTTTATTCATGGGCGGTGAGACTCTATCTGATAGAACCGTCTTGATGGTTTGGAGGAGTCGTTTTGGCATGGTCTATGATAGGCCACTGAGGATATTGCAAAAGGAAGTGTAGGGCTGCCTTTGGCTTATTGGGTTTATGTTTTTTCCTCCGTAGATGCCATCTTGACATTGCTTTGAGGCTTTGTACCATTGATTCTTTTTATTTTTATATTTGTATTTTTGCTATTTTGTGTTGGTTTGTTTTAGAGCTCTTATTTCTTCTTCATCTTGATCAATATATGGAAGGGGTTTAAAAATACATGAAAATCTCTATGTAATGTACACATCATGGGGTTTGTTCTCTTGCTCTTCTTCCTTTTTAGTATTGATTTTTGTTTCTTCCTCGTCGTGGTTAAAAATATGTTATTAAGAGCTCTTCTTTCTTCTTCATCTTGTTTTTGATTTCTTCTTTCTTTCTTCTTCATCTTGATAAAAAAGCTGTAAAGATTTGGTACACTTCATCAGGTCTATTCCCTTGCTTATATTATGTTCAATCGTCTTCACCTATTGAGATCTAACTGTGCATGTGTTTTTCTTTTTTTTGAGTGATTTAAATATGCATAAATATGTTTTATACTGATTTTTTGAACTGTATATCCATAAAAAAATTGGGTTATTAATTGTTATGTTGATCATTGTTGGTTGTGAGTCTTGTGACCCATAGCTTTGTAACACATGCTAAGAGTACTTGTGTTGTCGATATTTTTTAATGATATAATGGATTAATCTTTTCATTTTTTTTTCAATAATAATTTTAGCATTTACAGTATTTAATCACTGAAAAAGGAAATCAATAGTATTTTTCGCAAACAGTTAGATCTTATTCATTGTTCTTTTACTATTATTGCGTGGTACAAACTACAAACCAGTGGCTCAATTGCATTCCCCCAGGTATGTTAATGGGTATACTTAACATTCTATGAAATTTTTTTATCTTATTATTTTATTCTATGAGTCTGATATTTGCTCATTGTTTAATAGTGCATGACTAGGTAACTGTCTCTGGTAGTGTGATTTGTATTGTACTAGTTTCTTTTGTATCTATCATGAATATGTACTAGTATAGTTATTGCTCATTTACAACCCACAACTTAAAAGACTTATTAAAGGCTTACTTGATATCCACAATTTCAACCACAACCCTTAAATTGAACTGGATTTTTTATGACCTTATTTTGATAGATATTCATATCCATTGATTGGTTTATGTTTTTTGTGTATCATTGTTTTGGAAATCAACTTTGGGTATGCTTGATTGCACTCACCATCGTTCTGTTGTTTTAGGAAAACAACCTAAGTAAAGAAATGAAATTTGCCCAAGTAATTTTATATCAATTTAAAGAGTTTGGAGCTTGAATAGTAAGCTTTATGACAAAGAAGAGAAAAGTTTCAGACCTTTAACTCGATGCTTGTCCTTCTATCTTTTTATTGTTGCGATCTAGAAAGTTTATGTTGGGTATGTCTATGATGGTTGCTTAAGGTTTAGGTAACATGGAACAATGGTGTCCATGAGCATCAGCTTGTCTACTTTCAATGAATACTGCTCTGCTTAAGCCAGAGGGAAACAATGACAGGAAGGAGTTTGCATTGGGGAAGTTCATGCTTGACATTGTTTGACGAACAAAAAGCTTGCATATGTCTTTTGACAATCTATAATGAGCGTAAAGAAATTACGTGTCAAGATATGTCTTCCACTGCCGCTTGAAATGAAAAGAAGTGCGAGTAAACTGTGTCTCTCTCTTTCTCCATTGGGTTTGTGCTTCCATAAGTTATTGACATCTATGTCTATTTTTGATATGTACTGTCTATCTTCAATGGCAAGAGAGAGTAGAAGTTAGGTTCAAATTAAGTATGTGCCTAATAAGAGGAATTCTCTGAATTCTGATTTTGTCAGCCAAAGAGTAAAAAATCTATGACAATCTTGAAATTCAGGTAGACAATCAAACATGGACCAAAATACAAGGATATTATATTCAAGGCAAAATGACCTCCACCCCCCTCCCTGAAATTTTTATTCCTATTAGCCCCTTGGGTTCACCAAAATCCCTTGTACCCCCTCAAGTTTAAAATTTTAGGACCGTCAGCCCCCCAACTTTGTTTTTCTTTGTTCCTTTTACAAATTTGAGCTTTTTGTTTTACAAAATGCCAAACCCATACATTAGTCATCTATATTTTTTTTGTATGACTTGATATGCAAATTTTATTGATGATGATGGTGATGATGATGATGATGATAATAGTAATAATAATGATAATAATAACAACAACAACAACAAGTAATTCATCTCTTATAAGTATTTTGATAATTTTATTTAATAAATGAATAAATAATAATAATCCATTAACAATAATAATAAAGATCTTGATTAATCATTTTTCAAGTTTAAAAGATGATGCAATTGTAAAATAGGTCATAATATTAAATAAAAAATCATTTTCTTTTCAAGTCTAAATTTGTAGAGTGGGGTCTGTGGAGGTAAGATTAGTTTTGGGCAATGGAATAGAAAGAGAAGGGAGTTGACTAATGGATGTGTTTGGCATTTTGTAAAACAAAAAGATCAAATTTATAAAAAGAATAAAGAAAAATATAATTGGGGGACTAATGGTCCCAAAGTTTTAAACTTGAGGAGGTACAAGGGATTTTGTTGAACCCAAGGGGTAGTGGGGATGGAAATTTCGGGGAGGGGGGTAGAGGTCATTTTCCCAAACATGAGAATTCCTCTTTTCAAAATTTCAAGAATTTGAATCTTCAGATTCTCTTTTGTCATCCCCTTAGTTGTTTATCAGTGCTGATGTTATTATTTTTTAGTTGAATCTTCCCCTTTTTTCGGTTACATTTTGTGGTAAATGGGAATGGGGAATATTTGAATCAATTGATGAGTTATTTCAATGGTAAAAAACATGAGTTCTTCAATTTGGTACGGGATTCTGTGATGTCTCGTGAAGTTTTGTGAGTTATATTTTTCATATTTTCAGAGAAGAAGTTATGGTGCTATTTTCTTTTTGGAAAGGGCTAGGCATTGCAAAAGTGGTAGAAAAGTATCATCTTTGGTGCAAATGTCTCACCTTTCTTTTCTTTAGTTATTTTAGTTGTAAAATGCACGAGAATTCTTGAGTCTTTACTTTTTGTGATATTTTAATCCTTTTTGCCTTGTGTCATTCATGTTGCTTTGTTGTTGGCATTTATTGGAATATTTTTACACTGTTAGTTTTCTATTCGTAAGTATTTCCTTACTCTTTTTTTCAGTCTATGTTGGAATTTAAACACCTGGATCTTTCAAGATATTACTATCCATTTTGTTAGTCCTAGCATCTATGAGCTATAATTTTTAAAATCTCCTTCATTAAACAAAGATCATCCTCTCATCCATGAAAACTTGAATGAACAATTAAAAGTGGCTAATTTCTAAATCGCTAGATTTCCAAGCTCCTAGGTCTATTGAACTTCTAGACAAGTTATCAAACAAGTACTCTAAAACTTCAAAATATTACTAGTTCTAGGCTTCTAGCTTCTAAGGTTCTCTTCAAAAAATAGCTCTTGCTTCTAGGAAATGGAATTTCTAGCTTTTAGGGAATGCCTAACTTACAGTTACCAATTGTGCCCTAAAAGAACTGAAAGTGTTAGGATTGTGAGGATTTGATTGAAATTATGCTTGTTTGCAAGGATTTCAACAAACATGAATGAACTGAAAATGCAGTATTGTGAGGATTGAAGAACATGAAAGAATTGAAAATGTTTGGGCTTTGGATTAAAATTTTTATTGAAATTTTAAATGGAGTGAGAATGTGGTAGAGAGCTAGATATTTTATCTCCAAGGTATTAGAAAATGTTAAAATAAGGTATTAAATTTTTTTAAATTTTTTACAAAATATTTATTGTGTGCGGATCCCAAGCCGGTCATGCCAGTCCCAAGCCCAAAGAAAGGAGGAAGGTTGTGTTAGGTTGGCAGTCAGAGTAAAACTTTTGCGACATCGATTTCATGAAACCTGAACTAATGTAGACTAACCATGCTTTATAGAACGGAAAGTTGGTTGATCAAGAAACAATATATCCATACAGTGAGTGTAAGCTGAGATGAGGATGTTGAGATGGATGAGTGGCAAGACAAGAAATGATAGAGCTCAAAATGAATGCATCCAAGGGACTTAGGGTGGCTCCAATGACTGATAAGATAAGGGAAAGTAGGTGGTTTGGCCAGTGGAAGTCGACCTAGAACAACACCTGTTAGGAGAGGTGATTTGGTTCAAGTGAAAGGCACTAAAGGGAAAGTAAAAGTTCCAAAAGGGTATAGATGGAAGTAGTGAGAAGAGTTATGGTGATTTATGGTCTACATGAGGGTATGACCCTCGGTAGGGCAAGATGGTATATCAAGATTGTTTAGCTGATTTGAAATAGTTGGGATAAGGTTTGGATGATATGATGATGATGATGATGGTTTTTGTTTTTTTTTAGGAGGGGGGGGGGTGTGTGTAATTTGTCCATTGTTCTTAAAATGCAGCTACTCATTTAGGAGACAACAAGATAAAGTAGCATGCAAGTACTCAAGAAGGTATTACTGGCCAATATTTTTTGGCCCTGAATGGGGAAATTTCAAAATTTCCAAGGGAAAAAAGTGAGTAAGGCATCTTTGTGTACTATTTTTTATGGAAAATGAGACCTTTGTGTGGTACCCCAAATAAGCACATAATCTATTCACAAGAATTGCTATTTTTATATGGCTGGTCTTCTCTGAGTTGACCCAAAAACAAGTAATGGCTAGGAATTATGTGACATTTGGTTCTCAACATACCCCCACCTTTACCTTTCTTCCCTCTCTCTTTTCTTACTATTGGATTTTTACGTACGAGAAGCTTGATTACTTTTGCTTGCTCTCCTTTTTTTTTTAAGAAGACTTAACTATATTAGTATTAATGGTATAGAGCTTTACAGACAAGTGAGTCCTCCCCAGGGGGGAGCTCAATACAACCCTGAAGGGTTCAAACAAGAATAAAAGATGGCAGAGGTTCCACCAAAAATGACAAAAAGGCTAAGGCACTCCCAAGTTGTTAGATTGGGCCCCCTCCTTGGCTAGAAAGTCTGCTTCTGAGTTGGCTTCTCGGAATACATGGTGCTAAAAGATTGAAATACCCTGCGACAGGTGTGAAATCTCATCAAAGACATCATCTAGACGCCAAGGGCAGGGAGATAAGCCAGAAGCCCATGAAATAACATTCTTAGAATTTCCTTCGACCACCAAGCAGGAGCCCCAAGTGTCATCAAAGCTTTGCAGTCCTTTCAGCAAGGTACGAGCTTCAGCCATAGTAGAATCAGCTAATCCGATGGGGCAGGAAAAGGCTAACAAGACATTACCTGCAGTGGATCGGAACAAATCACCCACACCTGTTGGGTGAGGATTACCAAGGGAAGAACCATTGAAATTTAGCTTGATGGAACCTGGCTCTGGTGGTCTCCATACAGCTGTTCGTGGGATTTTGGGACATACCACATGAAGGAGGTTTGCCCAATTTCTATGAAAGTCAGTGGCAGAGAAGTTTTTGAACAGCTTATGATTGGAGGCCCAAAAGGCTACTAGAGTCGTTACTCTATTAGCCAAAGCCGCGGTCGAAGCTCTTTCTCCTCTAAAAATCCTTTGAAGTTCTTTTGCTCTCTTGGTGGAATGAAGAGTGAAGCCACACTTTTTGTTGGGTTGGCTGGAGCTTTTATCTACAATAAATGGGAATTAATGGACTTGTTTCAGAGAGAGAGAGAGAAAGGAGTTCTCATGGCGTGTTTGTTACATGGAAGAGGGTGCTGCCAAAGACCCCTCTTCCACAAATCGTGGAAGCCGCTGTTTTCATCATTTAGCATAGAAATGATGCTGTTTTCAAAGCAACACTCAAGGGTCCCCTTCCAATGTTGTGGTTCCACTCCCGCATAACAAATGCGGGAATGCACAGTTGGTGGAACTGGGGTTTTTCTCTACTCAAAAGTTCCACCATTCAAACACGCCCTCAGAGCCTCCAATTTAGGATAAAATATATAATGACAGGGATAGTGAACTTAATACAGTCGGGCATGCCCAGACTCCATAGGCTTGGCTAAACTCTTTATGTTCAGGTTTATTCGTCTTCTTCAGCATTTGTCTCTGCTTGCTTTTAATTCAGGTTGTTAGGTAGCTTCTCATCTTTGGTTATGAGTGGGTTTATGGCTTCTAGGCGTGGGTTTCTTTAATGGGTTCATGGTTTGTACTTTGTATGTATGTTTTTTCTGGGTTTTCAACAGGATTTTTTAAATGTATGTCTTGGAGTTGGGTTTCTCTGTTTTAATGCATAATTTTATGGTTCCTAAATATGACTTGTACTTGGGTCTCTCGGTTTCAATGTATTGGAACAATGGGTTTATTGATCAGACTCACTGTCACCCTATATGTCTTTTGAGTTTGGTTTTTCTGGTTTCATAGGTTGGAACACTGGTTTTAAGTGGATTCTTTCTATATGACTTGGAATTGAGTTTTAAAGGCTTAATTTATTCCAACATTTCGTGCCGGTGTGCAAGGATTGAAGAACATGAAAGAACTACTCTAATTTTGCGTTCTTCATGAATAGTCATGCAATGTCTATTCAAATCCGGAAGGCTTAGAGTGGTATAATCTGCTGCGCATTTAAACTTGTTAGCAAATTACGTTTTGGGTTTTGCTGCCATTGTAAGTTGTAATGAAAATGGTTGCCATTGGTGGGTTGCATACTCATGCTGTCAAACTACTTGTGTGCATGAGGCATATTGCTTTTGATTGCGTGGTCTCTTTCTAATATCACAGTCTCATAATATTACATAGGGTCCTCAGGTTGATGAGTTGGAAGTTCTAAATTCTTTCTATCAGTGTGGATAGAGAAATATCTTTTGTTTTGGGGGTAAATCATATCATCTAAGCCTTATCCCAACTATTTGGAATTGGCTACATGAATCTGGTTCTGCCATTTTGTTCTATCAAGGGCCATACCTTCTGTCAGATCACAAATTTGACTAAGAGTAAGTAGGATAGAGAAATATTGGAGATTATACTATACGTATTTGTCCTATTTACCCTCAGTCCTATTTACCCTCAGTCAGACTTTCCTTGGCACAAAGTTAGAGGACTCATATCAAATGCGTATAGTGATGATGAAAACTACGCATTTGATATGAGTTTTCTTAACTCCCTGCCAAGGAATAAAAAGGAGTCTAATACTTCGACCTCCAAAATAGGCATTGTAAATGTGCATAATAGAAGGTATCTAAGCTTTGCAATATGGTATTGCTCGCTGAATGTTGATAACAGAGAGTGCATCATATGACTAGCACTAATACCATGACTCAAAAACAAGCATAGGATTGGCTTACCTAAGTATAGATCATACCTACTATGAGTGATAAGGATGTCATAATGACAAGCCTATCCATGCTTGGATATGGGCTTAGGGATGCCTTTTTTACTCCCGAGGTTAGGTTTACAATTCAATTTGTTGTTATTGCTGCTATTGGTAGAGACTGTTTTCTTTACTCTTGGTCTCTAGGAATAAACTGATGTCATATCCACATATGAAGGCGACTCAAACTGCTGGTACACCCTCCAACTACAACAGGCTTAGCTACTTAGTGACGGTACCTTGCATTGCGTTCCAAAGCTCGAAACTTAGCCAAGCTTCCTATAACAGAATGCCTCCTTGGTAGAAGATAGTCGCCAGAAAGGAGGAAGCGAAGTGAGTAATTAAAGCACTAAGCGAGCCATGAGCTCAGCATCGAAGCGAAGCCTTTTCTTTCAGTATACTCACTTAACTCCCTCCTTTCACTTCTCAAACTGCTTTCACTCCCTTAACTTAACGTAGGAGGCGAAGCAGCATGCTTGCCTTCCCTCCGTCTCTCCGCTTGGCTCGCATGCTCATCTTCGCTCCGTACGCTTTAAGCGAGGGAGGGAAATTTCCTTGTGTGCTAAAGGTTAAGAGACAATAATGCATGCTGCAGTTTTGAGTGCAGCTGCTGTTTCTATTGGTATGGGTGCTGCAGTTCATCTTAGACCGAAGAACACCTTAATCAAGAAGTTACAGTAGTGGGTACTATGAATCATGAGTTGATAATCAATTATAATGATGCCGAAATCAGATCCGTACGGGTGAGGCAGCATTTCTCCATGTAAGTGACATTCTATGAGAGGGGGAGACATCACAGTATGGTCTCGATCTCCCTAGAGTTTAACACTTCTCCTCAAACTCAACTTAGAAGAACCAAACAAATAGTTCTTCAATCGTCAAGTATCCATGCCTGACTACCAAACATTAGAACACCAGGAATTGAGCCTGACATCATCTCGTATAAACTATCTTCTAATGAGCTCCCCGCAAAATAGAATTGGATCAAACAAAATTCTCAAGTGATAAACGATTTGCTGTAAATGGTTACCACATGCATGATAATTAATTCCTGCTAAAAAATTAAGGACTCAAGAAAAGAAATAAGGCCATAAGAAAGTCGAGAGTAAGGCAGGTATTAGAAGTTGAATACTCTTGACTTTCTTATATCCTTGGGTCTTTTCTTGGATCTTTTTTCTTTTTTTGTACACTTTTCTATTATATTTCATGTGTTAATTATATGCACCAAATCTTTTCTTGAGGATTTTGTTTGATCCATTTCTATTTGGGGTTAGCTTGTTGGAGATAGCTTATATTTAATGGAATCTGACTCAATCCTAATATTTGGTACTGTAAGGCATGGATATTTGAGGACTGAAGAATTAGTAGTTTGGTTTTTCTATGATGAGTTTGAGGGTGACTGTTGAAAGTACGAACTCCCAGAACCTTCTGAGCTTGACAGTTTATGTGTTGCAATCAGTTGGAGAATTTTGTCATCTAGATTCCTTGCTCATATAAACTAGTCCGAATTCTGATATTAGGAAAATTATTGGGAGTTCTCTCTGTCTTTCTTGTTATTTGGAAGCTCATTCTCCTGAAGAGTGAAAATAACTGTCTCCACATAAATTATCAATTTAGTGGTCTATGTTATATTAGAATTGTGCATCCTTATTTCATGAATATTCTCCTTTTTTTTCTGGCATCTATTTTACTATTTCATGTGATATTGTTTTGGTTCCACTTGTTTGTTTGCCTCTCAATCTCTTATATGAGACTCTCAGCTTACAGGAATATTATGTTAGTTCTAGATTTATTTTTGCTTTCTTTTTGATAATTTCAGGCCCCCATCCACTTCATGAGAGATGTTGCTGCCTTGAGTACAACCATGTGTCACACTTCCTTTCTATTGTCACCAATCTACAGAAGACTCTGCCCATATGGAATTGCTCTTATGAGAATTTGGGCACTTGGCTTATTAAGAAAATGCAACAATGGGCTCTACAGTACTTGCTCCCTAAGCAAAGAGAGACTTTAGTTGCTTAGCAAATGTTACAAATTTTAGAAGTATGTCAAGATTGAAACTCTTCTTCCCGAAGAGGTATGGTATCGTCCTACTCACATTCATATGTGCAAACATATGCTACATTGAAAGGGTGGGCTTCTCAGTTGCTTACACCAAGGTCGCTGATGCTGCTGGTGTGGACCAATCAACCAAGGGCCTCATTCTGTCCACCTTTTTTTATGGTTATGCCCTCTCTCAAGTTCCTGGAGGATGGGTGGCCCAGCAACTAGGGGGTAGGCGGGTCCTCCTCCTCTCATTTCTTATGTGGACCCTCACAGCTGCTTTGGTCCCACTTGACCCTGATAGCCCCAAAATCCTAGTGGGGGCCCGCTTGCTTGTCGGGATTGCCCAAGGCTTCATCTTTCCCTCCATCCATACAGTTTTAGCCCAATGGGTCCCACCCCACGAAAAGTCACGCTCGGTTTCACTTACTATGTCAGGCATGTACCTTGGGGCGGCAGCAGGCATGTTGGTGGTCCCGACACTGGTGCAGCTTTGGGGCCCTCAGTCAGTTTTTCTGTCAGAGGCTGTGCTAGGGGCAATTTGGTCATTTCTTTGGTTCAAGTATGCGAGCGATCCACCTCGCTCCGACCACCATCTGAAGGCTGGGCCAACAGACACTATGTTGCCTGTATCATACAAAGAGGTCAAGGGCGGAGCCCACAGGCCCCTTGTCAGGATCCCCTGGAAGAAGATGGCCTTGAACCTTCCCCTGTGGGCCATAATAGTGAACAACTTCACATTCCACTATGCCCTCTATGTGCTCATGAATTGGCTCCCAACCTATTTCGAGCAAGGCCTTGGGCTGAGCCTTGTGGACATGGGATCCTCGAAAATGTTTCCCTATCTAAACATGTTTGTTTTCTCTAACATTGGTGGGGTGGTTGCTGACAAGCTCATCACTGGGAGGATCCTCTCAATCACAAAGACAAGGAAAGTTTTGAATACTGTGGGTTTCTTTATCTCGGCATTTACTTTGATGCATTTACCTATGGTTCGGACGGCTGGGGGTGTTGTGGTTTGGTCCTCTCTATCTTTAGGATTTCTAGCTCTAGGGAGAGCCGGGTTTGCGGTAAACCATTTGGACATTGCCCCGAAGTATGCGGGCATTGTGATGGGGGTTTCTAACACTGCAGGGACCCTTGCGGGGGTGGTGGGAGTGGGGCTCACAGGACGGATCCTCGAGGATGCAAAGTTGGGGTCTGGGGAACTCACAAGCCCAGAGAGCTGGAAGCCTGTGTTCTTTATACCAGGCTACCTTTGTATTATGAGTGCGGTTGTGTTCATGGTGTTCGCTACTGGGGAGAGGGTTTTTGATTGATGGGGATTGTTTTGTTAGGTCTAAATGTTTTGGGGCCTCTCCCCTCTGAATCCATTCAGATGCCCATTGTCTCAATATTTTTGCTTTTATTGAATCATTGTTCAAGCACTGTGATGCATACTAAAGATCACGAGAATATGAAATTTTGTTGCGTTAAAGAAATCCCATGCAAACTCTCTCTCTCTCTCTC